AAAGAACACAGGCTCCAGAGTTTAAATATTTTATCTCTACCTTGGCTACCTCTGTGACTGTACACAAGTCAGTCTCTCAGGCTTATCTCGATTTTCACATCAGAAACGGGGTGGGGGGTTGGGGGGAGGGGGTTGTGTGTGGCAGGAATAGCACCTACTTTGCTGGGTTGCTGAAAGTATTAGTGAAATCACATATGCAATTCATGTGGGACGCAGGAGGTGCTCAGAAGGTTCATTTTCCTTCTCTTACGGCAAATTTCCCAGTGCACAGGCCTGGGCTGCCTGGAGTCCATCCCTGGCTCGTATTTCCTGTCAGCCCAAGGATGCGGCACTGCTGCTCAGCCCCCGTCAGGGGCGGGATCGTTCTCACTCCGAATTCTCAAAGTGCAGAAATCAAGGCTCCAAATCTGGGGAGTAAAGGAGCTGGAAAGGTGTTCAGTGATTCTATTGGTAAAAACTGAGAATGTTTAATAACAACAAAGGGATGTAGAGAACCGTGGTAACTAGCTTGGTTAACTGAAGACGAAGGAATACCTTTGCCTAGAATGTTCAGATGAAATGCAGACGTGTTTTTTCTGCTTCCACGGCAGCTGGGTTGCCTCTACTGCCCACTGTACTCACCCATATAAAAGAGCTTAATTAAAGAGAGAGAAGTCACCTTTTTGTTATACCATCAGAAGAATAACCAAAATGGACAGGAAATGAAAAAAAAACTCAAAATTCCAACTTTTACTTCCAATGGTAGATATTTCCTTATGAAAAACACCAAAAGGTGTGTTAAGTCCCCAAGAATCAGAATAAATCTTTCCTCCTGATTGTTGGCCAAACCCTTCCTCAACAAAAAAGAACGTTTTTGGACTCCAATGTGATTTCTCGGGACTGGTAAGTCACCTAGTAATAATCTTAAGTCCCCAACATGCAGAATTTTGGCAACAAAAAGAGACGGTTAATTCTATTTAAAAGACAGGGTAGCCCTGCCAGTGCTGTTCCCAAATGAGGTAATGTCCACGGCTCTTATCTGGCCTTTATTGAGGTTTAATGTCATTTACTGCTGGCTCTTGCAAACCTGCTGCCTAATCTCACCTCCTCTGATGTGCATTACTTCCAGTCCACTTCAACATGGCAATTATGAACCTCTGGTTTTTAAAACGATTAAGAAACGAATCCCACGTGTTTTGATTTTTTTGCATGTCCTATAATTTGAGTCTTTCTTCCGCAGTACCAGAACATTTCAGAGATCAGCATATTTCTCGTTTTTAAGGTATACTTATAAAAATACTTCTGAGGTTTGATATATTTATGTAAACATTTTTCAAAGAAGTCAAAATGTATAATTCAAGAAAATGTTCTGTGAAAGAATTTGTTTTCTGATTACAAAATGATTTCCTGCTTTTGAAAAAACAACAATTTTATATTTACTTAGCTGGCTCTGAAAGTCCCATGGAGATTATCATTCCTTCAATCCCTAACATCTCTTTTCCAGGTGCAGGCCTTTCACTGACTTTCAAAGGTAGCTTTATGCAGAGAAGGAATCTATAAGCTGTGGACAAGAAAAAGAAAAAGAACGCTCCCCATCTTAACCCTTTATGCTTTCCCCATAAAGAACAGTCTATTACGACACAGCTGAGGCACCCAAATGGACATGACCAAAAAAAAAAAAAAAAAAAAAGCAAAGTCATATGCCTTTGACTTTCTTTTCTCAACCAGAGTATAAACCACTCTTGGTAAAGACAGGAATCTGTTTGACAAACATGAATACAATACCCAACACTCAGTGTTATTTGTTTCCAACAAGCCCTTCATGTCTCCAATACTTAAAGACAAGAGCAACAGCCACAAGCACCCAGAGTCACAGGGTTTTTACCTTCTCATGCTGTTTCACACTTTATGGAGCAGAAACAAGTAAATGTGAGGGTATCAAAGGCAGCCCAGACACAGAGCAAATGACTGTGTTTTGTTGGTGGGCAGACTGGTGAAACACAGCCAGACCTGCTAGTGGTGCGCGTGGGAGACTCGGCTAGGAGGCCACTCCGTGTAACTGGTGAAAAAGCCAAAGAACCGCTTCTGACAAAGAGCAGCCAAGAGTGGATCCTCAGTAAAGAAAATCTGAAGGCAGATTCCCCCCTTAACAATCTGAGCCTTCCTTCTAAGTCAGCTGTATAATCTTGCGAATCTTTGAAAAGCCTGTTCTGCATTACTCATTATTGCCAGCCCCTTCCCTTCAAAGCAGCAGCAGCCTAATAGAATCAAGAGACCTAACTTGTATGGGCCTCAGGGTCCCATTTTTATCACAGGGATAGAGTGAAAAAACCAAGGGAGATGAGTACCTAAGAGTTTGTTCTGAGGAAAGCACCAAAGATGCACGATGTATGTAACGTAGACCAGAGGGTCTGGTCTGGGAGCTTCGAGTGTCGTACAATCTTTTTAGGAGGTCTGCAAGACTAAACATTTTTCAAAATGGTACGAAGACATCACTTTCCTCTTCTATTCTCATTCTCTCACAAGTGTGCAGTGGAGTTTGCCGGAGGCTACGGGTACGTGATGATGACATCACTCTGGTGACTACGGAATGTGTCCTTGGAGACCTTGTGCTTAGTTTGTTTTAGTTTCTAATTAAATATGGATAGACGAAGCTCTTTGGGATCCTCAATAACCTCTAACAGGGTAAAGAGGTCCTGAGACGAGTTCGAGATCTGCCGACCTGGAACTTCAGTCCCTACACAAACTGGCGGTTCCCGGATGGGCTGACTTCTCACCCACTCAGAACCTTTCTATGTGTTGTTCTGTCTGCCTGGGAGACTCTTTTCCTCCCTTCACTGGACTAACTTCTGCTCTCTGCTTAGATGTCACTTTCTGGGGGAAGCGTCCCCTGACTCCCCAAACAGTCAGGTGGCCCCACTATGTGCTCCCTAGCACTCAGCACACTATTCAACATCGATACATGACGGTTACCCATTTCTTGGTCCTTTCTTGTCCTCGACTCCTTCAATACAAGAACTGTCTTTGCACTGTTTTGACTGTAATACAGTAGAATGCAAGAGATATTCAGCCCTGGCTGGTGTGGCTCAGTGGATTGAATGGCGGCCTGTGAACTGAAGGGTCGCTGGTTTGATTCCTAGTCAGGGCATATGCCTGGGTTGTGGGCCAGGTCCCCAGTAGGGGGTGTGCAGCAGGCCACCACACAGTGATGTTTCTCTCCCTCTCTTTCTTCCTCCCTTCCCCTCTCTCTAAAAATAAATAAATAAAATCTTTGAAAAAAAAGAAGCATTCAGTATAATAATTGTTGAATACATAAAGCAAGTAAGAAAGGAAGGCAAGAATATAGGTCTTACATCTCACTGAGAGGGAATCAGTTACTAAAAACATTAGTTTTCGTTACAATGCAGGCTCATTAAAACTATGATAATAATAAGAACAGTAATACCTATCTATATCTCTATATCTACTATGTACCAGGTACTATACTTAAGAATTCTAAGCACTTTATATGCATCAATTCATCCAGTCTTCACCAAATCTCTATGGCGTATATAAGGCCTGTGTGGAAAAAGTCCAACCACTGTTAATATAAAGAGAACAGTTTGTGTGACACTGATATAACCTGGCAGCCAAAGAGAGTGGACTGGAACACGTGTGTGTGAACAATGATGACTTCACCATACTAGTCAGTGGGGACAGTGGACGCCATTGAGTGGGGATGTGTACTGTGTGGCCGTCACATTCAAAATGACTGAGTAGAGCAACAAATCTGCGTCAGATTTTGTGTTAAGCTTGAACGTTCCTCCACAGGGACTATTTGGATATTCAGAAATCTGCAGCTATGGGCAACTGGTGACTAGCAACTTCATCATGACAATATGCCCACTCATGCATCCCATCTCATGCAGAGTGTTTTGGCGAAACATCAAATCACCCAGAAGACTCAGCTCCCTACAGCCCAGATCTGATGCCCTGTGACTTCTGGCTTTCCCCAAAACTAAAATCACCTTTGAAAGGGAAGAAATTTCAGACTGCCAAGGAGATTCAGGAAAATATGACGGGGCAGCTGATGGCGACTGGGAGAACTGTGTGAAGTCCCAAGGTGCCTACTTTGAAGGGGACAAAGGCATCAGTGTCCTACGTACAATGTTTCTTGTATCTTGTATCTTCTCCAATAAATGTCTCTATTTTTCATATCACACGGCTGGCTACTTTCTGGATAGACCTTGTACACCACCGTTATCCTCGTTTCAAAAAGGAAGACCCAGGCGTGCAGGGAGTGCATGGCGGATAACCTCAAACCTCAGCAGTACATACCTCAAGCTTATAACATCTAGTGGAAGCTCAAGGCCATCTCTCAACTCTGCTGACATGTCAGAAACACGACTTAATATTTAAATCTTACCCTAGCCCTGGCCCACAGTGAGTGACCACAGCGGACCACGTGAACATCTGGTATTCTAACCCATACCACCTAAACCCAAGGTTACAGTTAGGCTTTAAAAAGACGTTTCAAGAAGAAGTCTATTTATTCCAAGTGAAAAGTCTCCTTTGTTGCTCTGAGCAAATAGGAAAGCAGGGTTTGATATGTCCATGTACCGTGGTATTATGCTGCAGGACAATCTCTCCTTGATGCGGATAACTCTCCTTGTGCTTCTTGGGCTAATCTCTCTCTCAAAGAATGCTCACAACTTCACCTTGAATAAGGAGTGGCTTAGATTTTTCTGTAGGCATACTTGATGGAAAAGACAATTTTACCTGGTTCAGTCCAAATGGGAAAGCATGATATAGAAAACAGGATTTAATGCAAGCAAATAACCTGGCAGAATCATAACATGAGTCACAATTGTAATGAAAAAAAAAAAAAAAAAGCATCTAGGATCTGTTTTTTCAGCAACAGAAAAAAATTCTGTGGGTAAAGTTAAAAGCCCGTGCAACAAATCTGCACCTGCTAACACTACATGAGAAGCCAAGGTTCATCCTGTGGTGTTTGACAAGTCACAAAAAGGAACTTCACTTACCTGGAGAAGTGTCCCATGAATATGGTTTTGCCGGAAATGCTGGTCAGTGCAGTTGGGGAGTGTGGCCAACAGAGTGCGGATGGTATCAGGGATTTGGTCCATCATAACAAATGGGACCAAGGCACGGGCTGCCATTTCCCGGGAGCGGTAGACAGGTGAGTTACCACATCTAAGAAAAAAAAGGAAACACGAGACCATTCAACACTCACTCCCTCACCTGTGTCTGCGGGTATGCTGTGACCTCTTTAGTTCTGGCTGGGACATCGAGGCTGAGAGAATAGAAAAGTTACTTCTTACTCCAAATAATGTATGTGTGTGTGAGTGTGTTAATTCTACAGGTGACTTTGCTTTTCTTATAAATATCATTATCAGCGATGATTCTATCACAGGGATAAATGAAAAGAGGTTTTGGCAATAAGATATTAGGCAAAAATGGCTTACTCCTCAACAAGCAAATGATCATTTATAGGACACTCAATGAGAAAAGGCACTGTGATGAATGACACGAGAATTTGGACAGTCACTGCTGTCTTTAAGGAGCCTGTGCGCTGGCTCCTCAGAGGAGGAGTACATTTGACAGGATGACCAAAAACACGAGATAGTACTGGGAAAATGATAAGCAGGTAATCTTGACGGTACGGCTATGGGAGGATAAAGCTGAGCTCCTGGGAAGGATGGCACTCTGGAAAGCCAGCATAATCTAAATGTGCTACAAGAAACAAGGCAGTTGTGTCGGAGGGGCAGTCATACAATGCAAGGCCAGATGCTCAAGGTAGAGGCAGGTGTGTCTGGGTGAAGTAGAGGCTCTTGAGTCACAGTGGAACTTAAGGCTGAGAAGTGGGTCATACCAGACTAGGGAGTGCCAAGTGGCAGACTACAGGATCTGAACTTGTCAAGAGAACAAAAGATGGACCCTCGAAGCACCAAGTCCCTGTCTCTGGGCTAACTCACACCCAAAGAACTTGACCAGAAGCTGCCAGTTCTTAAATGAGTAAGATTCATGGACAAGTGGCATTCTGATACGCTACAAAGGTCACTGGAAAGGCAGATCATCACCCAAGGGCCTCTGAGTAAACACTCAGAACCCGAGGGCCCACAACAATTTTGCGGAAGCTGTGCACCCAGGAGCCTTCAGAGACAGTATTATTTGAGAGGAAAGCCCAATATGGTAAGTCCTAGCTTAAATAAGTTCTGGACTAGAACGCTCAAGACTTCATGATCTTTCATCGAATTAAGAAAGTAACCCACTCGACCTATAGAAATGTCCTGGATGCCAAGACAAGGATAGGAGATGTTAGCAGACTCTTCAGGACAAAGATATGGGCTCTTGTTTTGTTTGTTTGCTTTTGTTTCTCTCAAAATTAAACGGTATTCCAAGAAGGAATTACTGGTAAAACCTGAGACATGAGGCCCTCGTAGTCATGTAGGCTCAGTGTGCAGAGGAACACAGTCTCACAACTGAAGTGTTTCAAACCCCCCAGAGGTATCACCCACATTGCTCTTAACATGACAATAGAAGTACAGATAGAATTTCTGTACAAATGGGATGACCCAAGCCGAATTTCACCACAGGGAATAGGGCAGGAGAAGAAGGTAGGGAAAGAGGAAAAAGAGATACCAGGTAAGTCAAAACACTGTGTCATTTTCCCCCCCTACGAATGTAGGTCCATCAGCACGTACTTTCAGGACGGGGAAGGGCTCACCCTATATTATATTATGGGCAGACAGTGAGACCTAAGGGAACAGTAGGTAGCTAGAGATTTCCCAATGGTCTTTGGCTACGTTCTGCCAGCTCACCCACTTTCTCACTTTAAAATGATTAAATGTTTAATCTGTAATTGGCAAATGCAGTAAAATGTTTGCTTTGGCCCATGGGAAGCTAGAGGGGGTGAGTGAGAAAACTTCATTTGACGGAGAAAAGAAAATACTCTGAAAATGCTTTGAGATTTAATTAGCAAATGACCTCACTCAGCACAGCCATTTGTCGAAAGCTTTCCCTTCTGTCTGTCCCCCACTCCTCCAGCGCACACATTTTGTGTTAGAGTGTGTTTTATGTTACCGAAAGGACTCTTGTGTATAAATGTTTCTTTTCAAATACAAATAACTCTGACATGGTTACAGATGTTTAGTTTCTAATTAGTAGTAACTGTACACTAAAGAATGCCCCTCCTTTTACTCCTGACCTTTTACAAATGATGATTTCCCAGAGGAATCTGGCATCCGTACAGAAAAAAGAATGGAAAGCGGGAAAAGAGCCAGAATTTTCTGCTTTTGGATACCCTGGACTAGGGTACTTTCCAAATGCACACAATCAGGTTAAAGAGGAAAACAAAACCTCCCCACAAAAAAGTAATGCAATTACAGAAAAAGAGAGGAAGCCTATTTTAAAGTAATATTTAATTAAGTAACATTCATTAAAAAGCAATGATTAAATGTAATTTCAAACTCCCCTCTATTACAAATTGTTTACATGGAAGGACAGACTATAGTGCACACACACACAGAGAAAAAAACGTTTCCACGTTACTGTTTTGTCAGCTATTACAGGCAGAGAGGGGTCTGGTGAGATTCAGCTTCTCTCCAGATATAAAGTGACCTGCAGAGTGAGAGGATGTAAACGCCGTCTTTTTAGCCCTGAGTGGAATATATTTGAAATGAAACTCTATTTTTACCCCCAGACACAGTCTTCGAATTTGATTCAGTAAACGCACCAAAATCAAGCAGAGATGCCCTTCAAGAACATAGAAGCCAGTGGCTAGAACGACAGAAAATCAGAGCACCTGGATTTACCCTGCTTTGGGCACTGAGTTCTGTGACTCAGACTAGTCAATCTCTCCGGGCCTCGGCGGAGCTGAGAATGGTGACCTATACCCCGTGCTCTGCTGTGGTATCTAAGTCTCCTGAGGGGACTGTGCCTCTGTTTGTTGTGTAGCATAGGATCAGCAGGGTCTAGAAGCTGCAGGCCTCCAAAGTGGCCTCAGCGGGGGAACTAGACTGTGGTGTGAAGGAACGCTGTACCATTTTCTAAAAAATTATTTTCCAATTATTCTTGACATACAGCATTACATTAGTTTCAGGTATGCAACACAGTGACTGGACATTTACATACCTGATGAAGTGATCGCCCCGCTAAGTCTAAGAGAGGACAACAACTTCATGATTTGAAGACAAGGAGATTTTTATTTTCCCTCCACTGCAAGTGATGAGAGGAACCTCAACCCCACCTGAAAAGAAGTGCAACAGCCTCTATTTCTCGCAGTTTCAATGTCTCCTGGGAAGTAAAGTAAATGGACTTGGAATCTCGAAGGTCACTTCTACTTCGACCATCATTTGAAAACCATTTCTGCAGAAGCCCCAGCCATGTGCTAGGCCTGAATGCCAGGTCCTCCCCTGGATTCCGGGACATGCAGACACTGGTCTTTACGCCTCTGGTTTTCTCACTCCGATGAACCCTTCCCATGTCCGGTTAATCACACATTTCCCTACTGTGTCCTTGGCACTGTGAACATGAGAAATGACGTCTGTAACAGAAACACTTGCACCTGAAGTTGCACAGCCCTTGGCGACTTATAAAATGCCTGCATACCCACTCGTTCTTTACTCTGCAACGTTCCTGTAGGAGGCCAGGACACTAAAAACCTAAACCGACAGACAAAAAATAAAACAAAGAAGCTCAAGAAGGCCAGGTGGGCCCTCCAGGATGCGTCTGCAGCCATGTCCGCGCAGAACCACCATTGCCAGGGTGAAGCTCGTGGGCTATTCCAAGCTGCAGCTCACACCTGGAAACCGAGGCAGCATAAAAATATCTCCTAGCTAATAAAACTGCAAGTTTTAATTTACAAGTATGTGGAAAATCTCTAAATGAGTCCGTTGGATTTTTTAAAACATTTGCAGGATCATGAAAACATTTCAGAATCTAGTAATATAAACCGTGGACCCGCTCAAAAGAGAAGTGGATTTATGAACACACACACAATTTCCCATACAGTACTAGGAGGTTCGTGACGCACACCCCAAACCCCTGGGGTGGCATTTCCCAAGCCCAAGTCAGGAATCCAGTTGCTCCTCCGCACAGTGTAACTGGCGGTTACATGCTCTGCCTCCAAGAAAGGGAGTTGGAGAACGAGGCCACTGCTCACAGGCCACCACCAGCTGGGAGAGGGAGCCAGATGGCTCGCCTCATGGTCACGAACCAGTAGTGCCCACAGAGAGGCATGTGGGTGTGGAGTGGCACAGGGGAAAAGAGCAGGAGGGACAGCTGGAAGGGCTTTCTGGAGAAGAGAGAGGAATTTCAAGTGAGGGTGACACACACCTTTGGATTTCAGGAACCTGAAGATTCCGGAGACTTTAGAATACAGTGTTCCGATCAGGGAAAGACCTTTCCTCAGAGATCATCCCCAGTTCCAGCCAGTTTCACAGAGTGGTGGCTAAGCTTTTTTCTAGGTGCTTCCCTCTTATATGTACCCTCAGAATCTGTCCAGTTTTCCTGAAAGGCTTCACAGGTAAGCGGCTAGATTACCAAGACCGGCTCTGCTCACCCATTCCCGCAGGTCAGGCGTGGAGGGCCCGGCACAAGCACGCACGGGGCTGAACACACGGGAACCACTGCCCAGGCCGCAGGGAGCCTACAGCCCGGGGAAGATGGAGGCAGTGCTCTGCGGGGTCATGAGAAGTAGACACGTGCTGCTGTAGAGGAACTGAGGCGGGGACACCAAGGAGGAGGGTGGGCAGTCTGAGAGGTCATGGTGCAGGGCTAAGGAGGGTCACACAGAAAGAGGCGTCCTCCTCAGGCCTGTGCCTGTTCCTACACGAACCCAAACTGCTCCTAGGGCATCCAGACAGAAGGAGGAGAACTGAGGTTTATTAACTGTGTTCTAGGACTGGCTGCCGACTTTAGACACTATTCTACTCACTTCACTAAGTCTTCATGACAAGGTCATTATCATCACCCCATTTTAGGTTGAGGAAAGTGAAGTTTCCCAATATAAACTAGTAAGTGGCAGAGCCCACATTATAATTAGGGTGTGTCTACCTGCAAAGTTCAGTCTTTCTAAGACTGTACAATACAGTTGCCTCAAAATCCTCAGAGCCTTAGAAAAACAAAATGTTTCCAAAGTAACCTATTCAACCATATCACACCAAAGTATAAAGGACTTCCAGAGCTGACCC